AGTCTGTCAAAGGCAGTTATAATGTCTTTGAAAATGAATTTGCCGAAGAGAACTTCGCTGAACCAAGCTTTCTTATCTTGTGTCTCAGTGGGTATATTCCGTTTACCTAACATTTTTTTCAAAATAGATCATTTCATTTAAAATGTACTTTTATACCATAGGTCCTTCTTTTACTACTCTCTCAATAAGTACAAACTTGTAATGCAGTCATAAAATGTAAATGATAACACTCAAGATAGTGTTCATTTGAAAATCTCGTTAACTACATAATATTGCAATATGTGACTTTTACTACTGATATTTTTTAAGTACTATGCTTCTATATCGGAAAACTATTTGTGCTACTGAGTGGATAAACTGTAAGGCATCAATTCATCACAATTAGATGTTATAATTATTTATCAACAGTGAAAAAAGACCATTAGTTAGTACGTAATGTATGGGAGATTCCAATAATACTTAAGATTTGATAAAAGGTATTGAAAATATAAATAGAAAAATATCAGCTCACTACAGTGATTGAAATGAGAATAAATTTGTAAGAGTGAAACCATTACACTCATCAGTATTTATTGAAATATCTTTTGATGTGATATTGTGTATGGAGGTATGGTTTAGTTAGATGCACCCCTAGGCATTTCTTACACAAGATCAGAAAAATATATTTCTGTTACTGAACATATGGAAAAAACAGACTAACCCTAACATAACATACTTTTAATATTACCGTCAGTTCGTAGAGTTTATCCAAATACTTTATCCTACTTCCCAATGATTTTCTTAATATGCAATTTAAACTTATAGGTTAAGAAAGTGGAGACAGACACTTTCGTATCATGTGCACTTCCTGAGGAGATAAGGACTCGTGCGAATCCATAGATGGCTAAAACTATTTGTTAAGTCACCTTGAAATTATAAACTGTGAATAACAGTATTAAGAACTGCAATCATAAAAATTTCAGAATAACTCATTAAACAATGAAATTAATTGACATTCGTTTGGTCAACTAATTCACTTGTCGAAAAGTTAGGTCTAGGCTACAATTCTGTCGATGAAATAGTTATTTTCGATAGGCCGGGAAACTGGTATTTCATTCTGTAATCAACCTTAAGAGTATGTTACATCTGCCCTCACACCTATCGACTCCATTAGCGACAGTGAGTTTAGTATGTCAATCATCATCAATCCTTAGCCTGGTAAAATTTTTAGTCGGTCCACGTCCCTAAAATTCATTAGCACCATAAGATGAAATTTCAAAGATGAGACGTAATAATGTAGTACCAACGATAATAACAAAACTATATAATTATGTTGGATGAAAAGACAAAAGGAATAAAGCCGCATGAAGGAATATGAATAATCAAGATTTAGAGGTACATAAAGGTTGAACGTATCTACGTCATTATTACCGATTATGAACCACGTCACCTAACAACTCAAACGTGTTGCGGTTATCGGGAGGACCCCAAGCGTGTTTAGTAAAATTCGATCTGGGTTAAGTCAGTTAAATCGACATATTCATAACACCGAATATATTAATTTCTTCACTTGCAACTTGTATTCTATCAGTTTAATGCATCACACCTGTTATAACTTCAAAAAGCCAACCCGAGTTAAACTTTTAGTCAGTTTCGCTCCTACATATCCTGTAATTTACTAAGAAACACTAAAATAATGCTGAGGAGAAAAGGTGGTGTATTGCGCTTTCGGCAAATGTCCATACCAGAATGGTTCTTATTCTCTTCAATAGTCTATTATTAACTACAAGTGCTAATAAAACATCAATAAAATAGGATTTTCCCCAAACGTTCGATTTTTCTTACGTTAAATTATGATGATTAAACATAAAAATTAAATGAGTATGAGGATTTGTAGAGATTTTAGTAGTGTCACAGTTGAAATCAGTTGATCAAAGCTAGACCACCATTAAAAACCTGGAAGCACTGGATGGTCGTTTCGTCTTATTATGGGACTCCAGTAGTGCATATCCACTATCCCATACGCAGGACTTGAACTCAGGACCTTCAGTCTCAAGGTTAAGAGTTCGTGCACGAGTCCGAGTTCTGTGTGCAAGATCGTGGATGCGCACTGCTGGAGTCCTATACTAGGACGAAATCCCCATCCAGTGCTTCCAGGTTTTCAATGGTGGTCTAGCTTAGATCAACTCGTGATTTCAACTATGAACATAAAAATTATTCATTATCACATTTATCATATTTCAGATAACAGTTGTATAGATACAAAACTGTATTATATGATAGCACCAAAAATTTACTACATCATAATTTCTATCTTGTATCACCAAATTCCATAAGTGTTCAGGTTAAAACATCAGTCTACGAAAAACTATTTCGTAGATCATATGATTTTCAAAGTATACTCTAAAATCTAATACTATTTGTACCTAGATTATTCTATTAACTTACTTTCGTGATCTGATTGGTTAGATGAAGCTAGAATTATGCTAAAATTCAATCAATATATATAAATGTTTAAGTAACTGATTGGTTTATGAAATATTGATTTATGGAAAATGTAATGTACTTTGAATTTTTCTATAACACAAGTTTTATCGTACGACACTGTCAATTTTAAATGAGACAAAGTTTTTTTTATCTGGTCACGTAAACATAACTTTTTTGACAACTAACTATAGTGGTATTAGTTGATTAGATCACAGAATTGAAGTATACAAAATAATATTTAAGAATCAAAGAGATAGAATTGCCGTTATACTAATTTGAATATTGTAATACAACCAAAAAAGGAACATATGCTCTAACAATGATCACTGTAGAATATTATCTTTAGTCCGAAAATCAAATATATGCAAATAAAACGACAATAGATTACAATAATCCAGAAACCTCTTTTTTGAGGTTTACGGATTCATTACTAGAGTGTATATATTTGGCTTCTAGATAATTAATACTATGTTCATAATTAAGATACAAGTTGATCAAAATATAGACAAGAATGTTAATAGCTAAATATCCAACAAAATTATAGTGAATGCATGAGCAGTTATTTAATAAGTAGCTACCGCTAACATAAAGTACACAATACTAAAGCTATAGATTCTGGGGGATAAACATTTACTAATTAGTTAAACACATCTAAGCTGTGTCATTCATCAGACAGCTAAATCTGTTTTAGGTCATGTATTTTGGTCGATAGCTAGATACGAAAATTGTCGCCAAATAATAGCTGATCCTAACAATGAGCTCTGTCATTTACATTTTGTTCGATAAGCATATAATTTCTTATCCTCAACTGTAAAACCATTGAAAAATGAAAGGGATTGGACAGGTGTTACATGTTGATGATCACCGAACAAGAATTGTGACCGATCCTATAATATCTAGTTATTAAGGTGAGCACAATACATCTAAGTACTTAAAACAAATTGAAAATCTTCACATTAACTTTAATTAATTTGGGATACGACGTGATCTACACATAGTATCAGTAGCGGATTACTATTTTATTCTCTACTAGGTTGTCTTCACTTGCTACGGCTTACTACTATTGAATTAGCCTTCTGTTTTTGGTGTGTTTACGAGGTGTGGCTAATTGAATTGTTATATGTTTTTGTCTGATCCTGTTTACTTTCCGACTGGCTGAACTCAATACTGTAGTCAGACAAAGTCCAGAAGTAGCTAATAATCAAGAATTACCATATTATTCTGGTAATTATAGAGTATTTACGTTGATTCTGGCCGTAATCAATTATTAGTAGTGGTCGCTCAACCCGCCCACAATCCCTGATATCTAAGGGAAAGGATGCATTATTGCAAAAAGCAAATGAATAAATACATCCAGTACTTTTTAATTTCTTGACAGAATTCATCAGTCATTAAGACTACTAAGATTAACAACTGATAATGTAATGAATTTGTCTGTTTATCCTTAAGCATCTAGTCCATTCGAATATAATTCGACATAACAGATTTTAACAATGTGAAGCATATCTAAAACAGATCGATCATTATATGTTCCAAATCAAGTCGTTTATTCTGTTCTTAAAATATGTCCAATCACTGATTAGTTAGTAGCCCTACCACAGCTAAACAATGCTTTGAAAGAATTTATGCATCTAAAACTTTAGTATTTTCATATTATTTTTTGAAGCAGAAACTTATGCACGTAGAATCTAACCTGGTGTAAAATTCTAAGTCTTCGACAGAGAAGCTAACACAACATCTACACTGGGCTGTGTGATTTTTGAACATGAGTGACCTATATAGGCAAGTGACTTGGGGAGTTGGTAGGTTCAACCTCATCGCTCTCTACTGTCGAATCAATCATGAAGCTGGGGAAAATTATTGATCAACGTTTTGCATCCAGCAAGTAAACATGTACCACACATTTTCAGGTCTTCCTTTAGGATTTTCTCCAGCATCTCCATTAAACAGTTTGTGTTCCACGAGTTCACGGGAAAACCTCTTAATAAAAGACTAAATCCTATCAAGCGAAAGAAATATCACTTTTGAATCACATACATGGATTCAAAAGAATACAGAATTGATGAAGGTTGCTAGACGTAGTTAGTCTAAGTAGTAGCTCATCAAAGACCCTGTCCGAGGAAATCACTCATCCCGTTTTTTCCTTCATTTTATTTTGCCACAGATATCCTACAAGAAGTGGTTTTATTAGTAAGATTTCTCAAATATTTTATCTATAAACTCTTTTATAGGTTTGAAGTACTCAAGTGATACATTTACGTTCTAAAGAGGCGCTGACATAACGGTTTTTGTACACTGAGTGATGATAATTAATTAGATGCAGTTTCCTCCCTTCAAATGCAAAATATTGTTTCAACCCTAACAGATTGGTGGATAAACGAATTCAAGCACACACATAAGAATCTAGATTAAGTTTAACAATTAGCATAGAGTTGAAGTCTTGAATGTAGGTGGTTTGAAATAGAACAGTAACCATAACATTAGCATAAGTAGCTCAAAAATGGTAATGTCGGAACAGACACATTCATTTTCCTAAATCTTGACCGTATTATTATACCCGCAATTAACACCTACTAACTACAGTTAAGTGCTACGACTACGTTACTCCTTTTCAGTGTTCATAGGGAAAACATTGTTATTTTCAGCTTCTTATCTTTTTGCGAATTTATTCTCATTATGCTGAGGTGAAATGTGGTAATGTAAACTGATGTATACATCTGCTATTTTCTACGTCGATTATATCTATTTGTTTAACGCTTTTCAATAAAAGATGCTATCACAAGACCTCTCGATCAACGCAATCGGATATAGTCTTAGTCCGTTGAGGTTTACTATGTCTCGAGACGACGATTGGTCGATACATTTCAAGCCAAACCTGAGATGTATGTGATCTACCCAAGGTTTCCTATCCCTATGTTCTAATCAAATGTCTAATGGGCAAAGATGCTTAAAAACCATGCTAGTTAAGCTGACTCTTCTGTGATTATCATAAAGTAATAGGTTTTTTTTTCATAAACTTAAGTTGCCAGCGATTGAAAGCATGGAATTATGATCATCTAACCAGCACGCCCAAGTTGTAGTCCGAAGTCGTAATCTAAAAGGACATCTGAAGTGAAATCGAAGAAGACTGTTATCCTAAACATTTCAAGTGCCTTGTGACTTTCTGAATCAGAGACCAAGGGTCAGTATACGATTAATGTCGATAGTATGAAACTGAAAATTAACTAATGGTCAGCTTAGCTAGTTTTAGGTATCCTATCAATTGTTCTAGTAATATGGTATTGGAATAAGTCGCCAGCTTAGCTTTCCGTTATATTCTCAAACCTCCGTATGTTTAAATATGCTCTTTAGTCTGTTGCTATTATATCAGAAAGTAACCAACCAGAAGGCATTAGTGTATGACACCAAGCCGTCTTCATTTTGCTTCTCAAGCCCTAGGCCAAAAACAGAGATGAGTAACATAAGGAATTCGGAATCCTCCAGTTAGTGAATATTTAAGGCTTCATTCGAATTAAGTAATTCTAGTACGTTCAAAACACTTTGAATGCAGACATATCCAGAGCCCCTCCAATGATAAGTGTCAAAAGAAATAAAGGTACATGCATTATCTAAGGATCTCCAACTCTGATTAGTGATTCGGAGCAGCTTTCCTTAACAAAGGGCTTCGAACACCACTCCCAACCCTTATCCTTTATCCGGATTCAGACCGACAGAAGTCCCAGATGAGTTTAAGGACGAAAGATTTCCGTAATGCAAGATATTCAGTGATACTGCTAGACGAAGTTATTAAAATTATAAAATGAAACTGGAGAAGATCCTACTAGTCGTAAGTAAAAATCCAAGCTAATACTTAACCAGTTAACGCCTAAGAGGAATACTGATATCAACATCCCACGTCTAAGGAGACTGAGATTTTCCTGTAGCCTAGAAATTAAGAACCAGTACAAACTAAAAGTCTGTTTATACGTTAACGGACGACTAATAAGCATTATCAATCAAACTATTGAATAAACTAACAGCAGTGTTGTGAACAAACGTGGAAATACCAGACGCTCGCTTTACTTTCAGGTTAACGAACTGTCGCACAACGGCTATTGATTCGGGCGAAAACATCAAGCCCCAACCTGTAAAAGCTAAGACGATGCTGACACGTTAGGCATAACGAACGATTGCGCACAACCTCATACCATGCAGGACTACGTTATCACACCTATATTTGACGAGGTTGAGAAAAGTTGATAGGGCAATGAGACAAATGACACCTCATTCATGAAGAGCTCCTGGAAACAAACACGCTAGTCCCGTTAAAATGACATCAAGCCACGCCGCAAAACTTACTAAGATATTTATTTCAAAACTGGTTTTCAGTAAAGATACCGGTCAAGAGTCTGGCCGATTATAATTGAAAAGATGAGCTCACGAAGTCCTCGATATTATTAACCTCCTGCGCTTGGTTCACCATTCACGCCCCATTCTCATGGTAAGACGAAATTATCAAAACCATACCCAGGTTGTCAGGAGTAGTAACTGCAATGGTGACAAAAGGAACAAGCATCGCAGATAGCTTGGGAAAGTATGGACTAACAACTAAAACTTCGATTTAGAATCAAAGGGAAGATCACATAAACGCGCCCGGGCTACTGCGAACTATTTTTAGTTATGTCAACCAGTCCGTAGCCACTGTTAAAAACGATTACTCGGACCTCAGCCAGGTAGTCTGGACTCACGCACATGTCACCCGGACAGTCATGAAGAGAATATATATATATTCGGCTAGCCTAGAGCATGTAAACTTTTCCACGAGACTTTTTACGAACATTAATTACTAGTTGACAGGACGCACGTACACTTCAGCATACGAGTCCGAGCAGGCAATAACGTACGACGAACATCCAAGTTAGCAAAGCGACCAACGCAGTAAGATCAAGGACGGATACAAATCAATACGACACTAATCCTAATAAAATCAGAACATCGAAACTTACTAAATTCAGGTAACTGGCACAACATAACTCGATAGGCTTAATTGCATAACACCAGCAAATCTACATTGATTAGGAGTCACAGTTACACTAGACACACACACGAAGAATCAAGAACAAAACAAATAGAGAACTAAGTTAAATTAAAAGTTTATTAAGGTAAATGAACTGAAATAAAGTTAACCTCCACGAAGACGCAACACCAAGTGAAGAGTGGACTCTTTCTGGATATTGTAATCAGACAATGTACGACCATCTTCCAGCTGTTTCCCAGCAAAGATCAGACGCTGTTGGTCGGGTGGAATTCCTTCTTTATCTTGGATCTTAGCCTTCACATTCTCAATGGTGTCACTCGGTTCGACTTCCAAAGTGATCGTTTTACCAGTCAATGTCTTCACAAAAATCTGCATACCACCACGAAGACGCAACACCAAGTGAAGAGTGGACTCTTTCTGGATATTGTAATCAGACAATGTACGACCATCTTCCAGCTGTTTCCCAGCAAAGATCAGACGCTGTTGGTCGGGTGGAATTCCTTCTTTATCTTGGATCTTAGCCTTCACATTCTCAATGGTGTCACTCGGTTCGACTTCCAAAGTGATCGTTTTACCAGTCAATGTCTTCACAAAAATCTGCATACCACCACGAAGACGCAACACCAAGTGAAGAGTGGACTCTTTCTGGATATTGTAATCAGACAATGTACGACCATCTTCCAGCTGTTTCCCAGCAAAGATCAGACGCTGTTGGTCGGGTGGAATTCCTTCTTTATCTTGGATCTTAGCCTTCACATTCTCAATGGTGTCACTCGGTTCGACTTCCAAAGTGATCGTTTTACCAGTCAATGTCTTCACAAAAATCTGCATACCACCACGAAGACGCAACACCAAGTGAAGAGTGGACTCTTTCTGGATATTGTAATCAGACAATGTACGACCATCTTCCAGCTGTTTCCCAGCAAAGATCAGACGCTGTTGGTCGGGTGGAATTCCTTCTTTATCTTGGATCTTAGCCTTCACATTCTCAATGGTGTCACTCGGTTCGACTTCCAAAGTGATCGTTTTACCAGTCAATGTCTTCACAAAAATCTGCATCTCGAAGTCTAGTGTAAACTGAGGAACAAATATGGAATACTTTCGATCTTGCTGGCTATATATACCTTACTTTCAGTTAGTGCAACGCTACATCTAATTTAGATCAGTAAAACAACATGCCTACAAAAGTGATTTTCAAAACTTGTTCTATACGAATCATACCCTGTTTATTTCACTGTGAAAAGTTATTGTTAGCCAGCAGCTTTTTATCCATGTATTACATTTCTCGAGTTAATAGATGACGGTATACCAGGCATAAATGTAAAGTAAAATTTGCCTTGTCATCCATATGGGTCTTAGTTCACATGAAGCCATTACATTTTTAGGGCAGTTAATTATCGTAAATATACTTCGTAACATCTGCAAATCTTTCTTATGAATGCTTCTGTACATTTAAATCAACTGGGAATCAACCGTTTTACTCTCCGTATTCTAAAGCCTTGTAGAGTGTCTTACTAGCGTATCTCCGACCTAGGTGAGTGAAGTATTTCCAGATTCTTCTGGAAGTATAGTATTTGAAGGACTCTTCAATAAGAAAACACGTAGATGTGCTCTATTAAAGCATTATAATTGTTCCGAAACTACAAGCAGACGTGAAATCTAAAGACCCAATCCACAACGGTTGAGAGCAAAACCTCACACAACTGCCCTCATCGGTTATGAAAATTTCGATTGACTGGGGTGTTACGACCGTCCGATTAGGCCGTCACTCTTGGATTTTGACCGATAATCACCACCGTCATATTGGTACATACGTCATTTATTACTCTTTTATCGCTCAAACTAGTCGAAAGCTGACCATCATTCATTATAAGTGTTAAGACAAACTCCAGTGCTAAAATTCAGTGTGAAAATTCGGTTATGGATGGCATAATCTCTTATCTAAAACTCTAAGATTTCATATAATAGTCTGAAGATATTCGAATCTTTTCTAAATTAATTTCTCAGACCACATATATAGCGGAGGAGATGAGTTCAGTAGCAGAGATAATTTAAACCCGGAGAAAAATTAAGGAGCATCACAGGCTTTGATTCCCTGGGGTTAGTGACTTTCTCAGGCTCAGGAATGAGAAACAGGTTGTGTGTGTTGTTGGTAACCCTAACCCGCAAGAAGGAATATTTCTGGAACACATTTACCAGATAAATCATTTAAATCCTCCCTTGGGAGTTCCGTAATCTTACAACTGCTTGTGGTGAAATCTGAAGTTCTTCAGGAGTCGCAAAACCGATGGCCGTCATAATGACCAGAGCGACAAATAATATCGAAACCTGAAGTGTCCAGACAATGTTGAGACCGTTCAGATCGTGGTTGACTGAGGAGAAATAATCCGGCGACGACTGAGATAAGTGAAATCAAATTGAACCAAGCTGGACAAGAAAGATTACAGTTGGTAGACATATTGTAGCTTTTTGTCATAGAGAGCTGCACCAAAGTTGCATGGAGAAGGTTTTATGGCATGACGGTGTCGGAGGTTCATGGTTCTTGGTCAAAAGAAACACTCGCTCAAAAAATGTCAGAAAGAACTACAATATATCGCCGTGTTTCACACACAAATTATGGCAGCAAAGATTATAAAACCCAGTTTTATGAAATATTGTAGATTCTCTTTATTGTGGAAAAATATACAGGATAAAAAGATTACTCGGATGAGAGGCTTGAATTCCAAAGTAGAGATGGACATCACACATGAAAGCACTATGGGGCGATATGAACTGGTAAATAAGACTGAGAAATGCGGAAAAGAATTGTAATTCCATGTATCTTTTCAAACGCTTATTGTTGTGTCTGGTTATCGGGGTTCACTACGGCTTAAGATGTTGCGGATTTAGAAACGAAAGAGCTTTTCTAATAAGATTGATTCTCTACGTAAATGACAACAGTCAATTATACTCAGTACATCAAACCCTGATGGCTAAGACAGGAAGAAAACGTAAATTGCAGGTAACCTAGTATTTGTGGTGGAACAAGCGACTCAGACGAAACTTGTGCAAAATTTGATACTGAAGTGGCAGATCATGACTTTTGAGCATGTAGAAATCTAGCGAAGTAAAAAAAATGACAACCGATCAGAGGACAAAGGTCAGGCGGAAATCTACTTCGCAGAAATATGAGAGCTGTTGTCGTTCTAGAAGAGATTTTAGCCCTTCTAATAAAACAAACTTCCTGTGGATTTTTGTGATACCGACCTTGTTCTGCTTTGTGTCATTCTTGGTTCTTCCCTTCGAAGATCTACACGTCGACGTCCAGGTCTGAAAACAGCCTGGTTTATCCGAGTTTGCTGTTTACGAGCACTAAACTAGGGCTAAAGGATAAACGAGGCTAATATTTTAGACATATTAATCAAACGGATTCCTCTGCGACTGTCACAAGACGGATTTTTCTCATTTCGAGACCAATTAGGTGGGATTAGAGTTAGTTATCAGACTGGGCGGTATGAAATGGGAAATCGGAAGGAGAAAATTAGAAAATGAATAGATTGATGCACCTTCAACAACATGGTTATAGGTAACATCACATTCCTCTCCAAACGCTTACACAGAGTAACATGAGTTTTACGAGACCACACTATACAGGACAGGATTGATCACGTTTGCATCGATAAAAAGATTCAGAAGTTCATTGGAGAACGTATAAAGAGAGGATTCGACATAATTTCAGATCAATACCTGCTGGTAGCCAAGTTGAAACTGAAAACAAATAAGCACTGGACACCTGAGTAAGCAGCACTACGGTCTTTCTCCAAGAAGTCAACTAGTCGAATTCAAGATAATTTTTAGTTACAAGTTCCGGCCTCACAACATCCACCACTTGTCGTGCAAATTACCAATTCTGAAACCGTGCTGTTCCTTTTGAACAATCTTTTTAAGATTTTAACAAACACACTAATTAGGCTAAGGAGTCGGTAATTTTCAGGTTTATGTTTCGTACCTGTTTTGAAGGTGAGACTTACTGAGGCGTTCTTCCAGTCTTTTGGCAAACGACCCTGCGTTACGAATAGGTTAAAGCATATACTTAAAGGTTTCACAACGAAGTTAGATAATTCCTTCAGTAGCCTAGGATGCGATTCATCGGGTCCCGTGGATTTACCTATGCCAAGCCTATTAATCAGACCAAAGACGTCGAGTTCTTTAATCGTCACACTTGACGTCAAGTGAACGCTTATATTTAAGAACGCTTCTACTGAGTAATACACCAACTCGTAGCTTACGGCATATGGTTTCTTGGAAATTCCATAAACAACTTACCAAGGACGATATCGCCAAAATGCGTTCACAATTATACCCAGGTTGTTGAACTCGCATTGTAATTGATTGAGTTTATACACTAAAAATATCAATGACATCTTACAGCGTGTTCAAGCAAACACTGAAGTAAAAATATTCAATGAAAATGGGAACATATCTATGATTTACTTCAGCTGCAGGGAGCAAATAGCTGTTTACCACGCGTTTCCGGAGGTAATATGTATTGGTTTGACATATCAGACAAACAAAGTTGGATAAGTAACGATTAGTAATAAATTTATCTTAAAGTTTTTCACTGTTCCAGCTAGTGGTGACTGATAGTCTTTGGCAAGAGCAGACTGTTATGTATGCTCTCTACAGTCAAGAACGACGCAAAGGTGTCGAAAAGCTATTGGAATGTTTTAAAGATACAATTTGCGGTACTTATGATACACGCACTTTCATTACGGATTCGGCAGCGACCGAAATTTCAGCAGTGCAGTCTACGCACAGTCTCAGAAGAGGTGATTCTCTGCTATTGACGTTCTGAAAAATTTGGAGCAAAACAGACATTGACCTACGTTTGGGTCCATATGACGCTGTAAAGGATCTTTAACGTTTTCCAATTCTTCAGGTAAGAAATATAGTTAAATGTATCATTAATTCCAGGTTCCAATGTCATTTCGAACTCTTTTAAATGAGCTCACATCTTTTGCAGCTAAAATTGTAGCTGTAAATTATAAACGTGTTCGGACAATGAGACACGAATTTATAGAAGGAGAATACATCCGGTGCCACGACAAGGGTATGATGTATGTTGTTGATACTTCACGTGCACGATGTGCTTGTGAGAGTTCCAATGACTACACGCTGCCCTGTGGTCATATTCTGTATGCACATTCTAAAGATCTGATTCGTGGAGGTATGTGTGTGTTCCTTTATCACTATAATTTTTGCAGACTTATTTCGACATAGCAACCGGTGGACAAGGAAATACATAATGGACGTGGTTCTTCGTGCGCTGGACAACATGTCAATCTCTACAGAGAGTGATGATCTTCTAGAGAAGTTCACTAACAACTACCACTCAGTCCACGCTCTTAGTTAACATTTGGCAAGTAGACTCATCCGTTTATGCCTCGAAGCATCGGAAGACATATGCGCACAAGTGATGAGTTCAATCGGTGGCAATGATGAAGTTACAACGTCAGAATCCATTGTTAATACCGACCATAGCTATGCTTCTTGATAACAAGAGGTTATAACATTGTAATCTTTTTCGTTTTACATAAATTTATTTATATGGCCAATAACTTATTCTTATAGCGTAACGGCAGGGACAGTGTGTAGTGGCATTGGACAATAGCCACACAATCCACAAAGCTGTGAACACGAGACTACTCAGAAAATAGATATTCAATATTTAACACGGAGAAATACCTAACAATGGAGAAGGCGCGATCAATGAATTGAATGGACTGAAGTTGATCGAGTGGCATGGCTCGGCCATGCAGGCGTGGTCTCTGCTGAATGTTACCCTATATCTTCTATTCATATTAAATATATTGTTCTTTCTCTAGCCTAACCTTGTTCTACATCATGTATTGGTAATTGATACGATACAGTGAGTTGGTGTAGTCGATGGTGTGACTTCCACGTAAGATCTTATAGATTAGGTAGTTATATCATGACAAATCTACAAATTTAGGATTAGGTCTATTATTAGAGCAGTACTAATATCATAGTAGACCATAATTCTACAAGTGTACTGTGCAGTCTTATGTGGCTGTTAGATAAGGATGTTGTTT